TCCGTGAATTTTTTAAAAGATTTATTTATTTATTTGAAAGAGTTACATAGAAAGAGGAGGAGAGGCAGCGAGACAGAGAGGGAGGACTTCCATCCGCTGATTCACTCCCCAATTGGCCAGAACTGTTGGAGCTGTGCTGATCCAAAGTCAGGAGCCAGGAGCTTCTTCCAGGTCTCCCACGTGGGTGCAGGGGCCCAAGGACTTGGGCCACCTTCTACTGCTTTCCCAGGCCGTAGCAGAGAACTGGATTGGATGTGGAGCAGCCGGGTCTCGAACTGGTGCCCATATAGGATTCCGGCACTGCAGGCGGCAGCTTTACCCGCTTTTATGCCACAGTGCCAGCCCCTTCCATGAATTTTTGGAGAGCCCAGTTAGGATGGAGAAGAGAAAGAAATGATATGTCACAAAAGGTCAATCCATAAGATATGGGAATTCTCAATTTGTAGGTACCAAGCACAGCTACAAAATCTGAAACAAAAATTCATATAAATAAAAATAGAAACAGACAAATCTACAGGTATACTTGGTTAATTCACATCTCTCAACAATTTCTAGAAAAATTAGAAAATTAGCAAGGATATAAAAGAACTCAACACTATCAGTGAATAGGATTTAATTAACAGAGTATTCCACTCGAGCACACAAGCACATTTTTTGAAGTATCCAAGTTTCTTTAAATATAGGAAGGTACTTTGAAAAATATATGCAAAAATGTAATTAAAAGTATGATTTTTTTGGTGCAAAGTGTTTTTGTTAATGATATATGATATATGCCTATTGGGAAAAAACTATGCATGTATTCGAATGTTTTTTGTGCAAAATAAACTCATACTTTAAATTATATCTTACCATAAACTCTTTGAGGTGCCCTTATGCAACATAAGCCATATCCTCGGCTTTAAAATAAACCTTAAGAAACTTATAACACTTGAAATTATCCAGAGTGAGTTCTCAGATCACAAAAGGATCAAAGTAGGAAATAGCATAAAAGTAACATAAATTATCAAACACAGGGAAATGAAATGATATGCTTCAAATAATTTGAGTTAAAGAAGTTTCAATAAAAAATTGCAATGAGATATTTCAGAAAATACATTGAAAATGGAAGTATAGGCATGAAAAATTCTTGGACACAGCTAAAGCAGTGCTGAGAGAAATATTTATAACACTAAATGAATGTGTTAAAAAAGGAAAATATCAAGTCAGTAAGCTCTCTAGAACCTACAGAAGGTTATCAAAAATAAAACTGAGGCAAGCATAAGGAAGGACATAATAAATATAAGAGAAGAAATCAATAAAGTTGAAAACAGAGAAAATCAATGAAGCGAAAAGCTGACAAACTTCTAGCAAGACTGACAAAGACAGAAGACATTACCTCTATCAGAAATGAAACAATATTCCCTCATGACCTTGCAGACTTTAAAAGGTACTAAGGGAACCCTGTAAACAACTCTACCCAAATATATTTGACAGTGTATGTGAACTGGATCAGTTTTTAAAATGGCACAGACTTTATAACTCACTCCATTTGAAATAGGTAATTTAAATAGGCATATATAACTATTAGGAAAATTGAACCTGTAATTTAAAAACTTCCCCCAAATAACTGTTTTACTAGAGAATTCTATCAAGTATTTAAAGAAAAGTTAAGATCAATTCTATACAATGTCTTCCAGAAAACAGAAGGGTGTTACCATTGACATAAGCATAGCATTTCTGTATCATTCCTTGCAATAATACATTGCAGATGAACCTACTGTTACCTGAAAATAAAAAGTGTAATTAAAAAGCCAGAAGGAAAAAGACACTTTGTACAGAATAACAAAGATACGAACCACAACAGATTTCTTTTTGAAATGATACAAGCCAGAATAAAGCAGAGGAATAACTTTAAGGTTTGACAGACAAAAAGGAACCTCGTCAGTTTGATTCCACAGCTTGCTCTCTTCCCGATTTTCTTGTGCTGTGCTGTAAAGGTAATAAACAAAGCTGGATGGAGCAGTAGGGTGTACCACCTTTCCCTTTTGTATGCCCTGGGGAGTTGGAGTGCTACCGTCATGTTTTGAAAAGGAAATCAACCACTGCTCCTATTCCTTGGTCTGTTTCTTTGCCATTTCCTTTATTTCAACAAGTTTTTGAAAAGTGAAATTGGTTAATACTTCATCTTACCTGTCAAGCTGGTGTTTATAGAGAATAAAGTTAATGTAGAGGTAACTGCAATACTGGCAGATTTGGATAATGACTGTCAGAAGAAAGTCAAAGAAAACCCTATGGAAATTTAAAGGAAGGATCGAGAAAACAACAAACTGAAGACATCGGGAAGGTGATTGAGAGCACAGGAAGAGGAGAGACCTGAGGACGTATCTAAGATTCCTGCCCAATTAGTGGATAAGAGGGTGTCATGGTGGTGATTGAATGTGAAAAGCTTGTCAGCAGCAGAGGTTGGTTTGTTTGCTCGTCTGCTGCGTTGTGTCCTGTCCAAAACAGTGCCGAGTATATAGTAAGTACCAGGTAAATATTTGTTGTGTAGAGAAATTAGAAGGCAATGATCACCAGTTTTGGTAAGAATCATTTGATAATAAGCTCTGGTTTTGGAGTCATAAACATGTAATGTAATCTTGACTGTGCAATTAGCTACTTGTCATCCAGTATCAGAGCTTCAGCTATCACTTTAGCTACCATTTGAATGCCTTTTAAAACTGCTGGAGAGAGGGATAATATAGGAAAACATTAGCTGTGTGACTTTGTATTGTAAAATGAGTATTGTATGAGAAAATTGTGTCACTGTTGATTTCATAGGTAGAGCCCTTAAATCAACACTTGATACATAGTAATGAGTACCCAGTAAGGGCACCGTTTTCTGAACCGGGGTTGCACATTCACTCCTGAGCTGTCACACACTAATGTAGCACATTAAAATTATATATGGATTACCTTTTACAAAAGTGAAATAGTGTGTTAAAGATAATTCAGCTCAAACCCTTCATTTAAACTGATATCAGAATGAAAGTGTAACTTAAATAAAGTAATACAGCCAGCTCAAGAAAAAACTACAGAGAAAAAAAAAGTAGTGAAGGACCAAACCAGAGGGTAATGATCATTTGTAGAGTATGGGATGAAAAATCGGAGAGAGATACTTATTAATTAGGCTTTTGAACACTTGCCTGTGAATACTGCAGTTATCGTCAAGGATAAATTTTATTTGATGGGGGAAAATGGCATTTGCCTACTGGATAGCTCTTTGTATTTCCAATTGACATCTTTAATTCAGCATGTCCAAAACCAAGATAGAATCAATCTATGTTAAGACTGAAAAGAATCTTAAGGGGTTGGTGCTGTGGCCTAGCAGGTTATGCCGCTGCTTGCAGTGCTGGTATCCCATATGGGCGTGGGTTCGTTTCCCGGCTGCTCCACTTCCAATCTAGCTCCCTGCTGACACACCTGGGAAACCAATGAAAGATGGCCTAAGTGCTTGGACCCCCTGCACCCACATGGGAGACACAGATGAAGCTCCTGGCTCTTGGCTTTAACCTGGCCCAGCCTCAGCCATTGTTGTCATTTGGAGAGTGAACAGCAGATGGAAGATCCTTCTCTCTCTGCCTCTGCCTCTATCTCTGCAACTCTGCCTTTCAAATAAATAAACACATCTTTAAAAAATGAGGGGGTGGGGCAGCATTGCGGCCTAGTGGGTAAAGCTGCAGCCTATAGTGCCTGCATCCCATATGGATGCTGGTTCTCACCCCGGCTGCTCCACTTTTGATCCAGCTCTCTGCTAATGCCCCTGGGAAAACAACAGAAGATGGCACAAGTGCTTGGGCCCCTGCACCCATTTGGGAGTCCTGGAAGAAGCTCCTGGCTCCTAGCTTTGGATTGGCCCAGCTCCCACTGTTGTGCCCATTTAGGAGGTGAACTAGCTGATGGAAGATCTCTGTCTCTCCCTCTCTCCTTCTGTAGAGGACCCCTAGTTCAGTATACCATTTATAGATGAAGAAAACAGCCTACTCCACAGTGGAGGTCTCACACTTCTGAGATTCATACATAGCTCTGTGTCTCAGGCCATTTTTGCTTAAGTTGCACAGCATTCCCTTTTGGCTGGGAGTTGAGTCTTTGAAATTCATCCTGACTACAAAAACTGTTGAATTGTGTCCTTAAGTTGAATCCTATGAAGAAGTTCAGTGAATACAAAGAGATGTGGTGGTGGTGATGGTAGGGCATTGGTAGGTGGGGAGAGCGAGAAGGGAAGAATGAGTTCTGTCCTGATTGCTTGGCCATCTGAAATGTGGAAACAAGGAACCAAGCAAGTGCCTCTGAGGTTAGGAAGCAGTTTGAGAGCCCATGGGGTCTGGCAGTGATAATAGGAATGAACGACAAAGGGACTGGTGTCTCTGCTCTCTAGATTACTCAGTAACTTTAGCATGTGCCTGGGAGTAACCACGTACAGTTCTTTATTGAATCTAAGAAATAAGAACTAAGCCATCATTACAACTAAGACTTTAGCAAATACTCAGCTATCATTTAAATACTTTAATTGATCACATTTGTATTTACACAGACAAGTAGCTTTGGTGTTCATTAGTTGCCTTGAAATAGATAATTTTGTTAGTGTGGATGTAGTGCACAATTACTGCCAAATGAGAAGCTTAGCAGTAGTTAGCGTTTAGGTCTTACATGAACCCCTGTAATGTTCGATAAACTTTAGATTTCTTAATGTACTTTAATTCATTATTTTATAGCATTATTTGTAATTTTGAATTTTAGTCAGCAGCTGATTAAGTTCTGTGCTGGACATCATGGGGAGAAGGAAAATGTCCTTTCATTGGAGTCTTGCTGAGTACAGGATGAAGTGTGTGACAGTTTCGAGTCTTTCCTTTTTATTTCATTTTACCACCTGAGCGTTCATATTGCATAATTTTTAATTTTATTTTACTGACTTGTTAAGCATGTTCATGACTAAAAATTCAGTAATTTAAGCTGTATGCTTTCTGTCAAATTATTATTAGATTGCCAGGCTGGAGAAAGATAAAGAAGAACTACATAACCAGCTGCTTAGTGTTGATCCTGCGAAAGATAGCAAACAAGTAGAACAACTTATTGGAGAAAAAGTCCGGTTGTGTCAGAAGTTAAAATGTTTGGAGACTGAAGTAGCAGAATTAAGAGCTGAAAAAGAGAACTCTGGTGCTCAGGTAGAAAATATCCAAAGAATACAGGTGCGGCAGTTGGCTGAGATGCAGGCGACTGTCAGATCCCTGGAGGTAAGATTTTAATTGCTTCCCAGTAGACTGTTAAATAACTTTTTAAAAGTGCAATTGACAAGCCTTTAATTTTTAGAACATAAATGTGTGCTCACCAATCTAATGCTGACGCATTTGTGGAGTCCCAAGAGTGTGTATTCTTTTTTCTAAAGAACAAAGGTATTGATTCATAAGCAGTGGCTATGCTACACGTTTACAAAGGAATATTGTTTGAGAGTCAAGTCACCTATCTGAAATAACTCTTCCAATGCCACAGAATAGAATATGTAAAAATCCAAGAAAGTAGTTGAATTTCAGAAAACTTAAAGTTCTCCCAAAGTAGAAAGAATAATTTCTTCCAAAAACAGTAAGTTCCTTACACTTAAAATCTTAAGTCCTGTTTGAGCAGAAATACGTATATTTTATGACAGCTTTTTACTGAAGTAATAAAATTCAATGTGGCTTCTAATGCATACAAGCCTTTACTGAATTATTTTCTTTAGTTTGTTAGAAAAAGGTAAGTGTTGGCAGACCCAGGCTGGTACTCCTGGAGATACTTCCTTTGAAAAGTCTCAATTTTCATAAGATTCAGATATTCTTGTTTCTCCTAGTTCTTAGTGCCTAACATGCAGTAAATATACCGATTTTGATTTATTTTATACCTTTCAAAGTTGATTCCCTGCCCTCTCCCTCCTCATGGAATAGCTGTGAAGTGATTTGGGTTAGAGGGAAATTTATTGGCTGTCTAGTTTGTAGTTAAAATCAAATATAAAATAGTGATTCTTTTTTCTAGCCAGCAAGCTGGTATACTGATATATTTTGAAGAGTAGAAGTCGCTTTTTAATTTTTTGGATGAAGCTTCTGTCAGTATTTGCTGATTTCTTGAATTGAAGTTGTCAGTACCATTGGACCTTAGTCACAAGACGACTCAGAGTGGGACTGTGAATGTTCCCATCTTTCCAAATGTATTCATACAGTGACAGAATAAGAGAGATGATTGCAAGTGAATAAGTATGTGGTCCCAGTGTGAAACTTTTTATTGAGGTTGTCTAAAGTGATTATTTTCAGGTCAAATTGAATATGACAGAAGATGGATGGTTCATCTGTGAAATTTTCAGAAGAACCTATATTTGATTTTTGTCAGGTGAAATGAAAATAAGCATGTGACAGCAATTGTTTCTTCTTCAGCTTTCTTGGCTCTCATTGTGCTCAGAGAGTACCATTTTGATATTTGAATTATTTGTTGAGCACGTTCCTTGTATTTAAGATACATAGGAAAGGAGATTTACTTACTTATTTTGAGAAAAGCCAGAGTTACACAGAGAAGGAGAGGCAGAGAGGTGGACAGAGAGAGAGAGAGGTCTTCCATCCACTGGTTCACTCCACAATTGGCTGAAATGGCCAGAGCTGCACCAGTCTGAAGCTAGGAGCCAGGAGCTTCTTTTGGGTCTCCCACACGGGTGCAGGGGCCCAAGGACTTGGGCCATCTTCTACTGCTTTCCCAGGCCATAGCAGAGAGCTGGATTGGAAGTAGAGCAGACAGAACTTAAACCGACGCCCATATAGGATGCTGGCACAGCAGGTGTTGGCTTCACCCACTACGCCACAGTGCTGACCCCAAGAAAGGAGATTTAAATGCCAAAACATTTTTTGTTTTAATTGTTGAAATATTTTTAAAAGCTTGCATCCCTAATTAAAGAGTACTGTATTATCTATCAGAACATTTTTGACAACTCAGACGTTAAGACTTTTTTTTTTTAGATGTATTTATTTCTGTTTGAAAGGCAGAATTACAGAGAGAGCAAAACAAGGAAAGAGAGAGGGAGAGGGGGAGAGGAGAGGAGGAAAGGAAGAGAGTGAGAGAGAGAGAAAAGGAGCAAGTAAGCTCGATGTTCCATCCTCTGGTTCACTCCTCAGTTGGCCAAAACAGCCAGATCTAACCTAGGAACCAGGAACTTCATCCAGGTCTCTCAGGTGGGTGGCTGGGTCCCAGGTACTTGGGCCATCTTCCACTACCCTTCCCAGTTACATATACAGGAAGCTGGATTGGTAGTGCGGCAGCCAGGACTTGAACTGGCACCCTTGTGGGATGCAGGCATTGCAGATGGCGACTTAACCTGCTGTGTGACCACACTGGCCCCTTGTTAAGATTTTAATTATGTGATGGTGTCAGGAGCTTTTCTGCTCATATTCAAAAGGCCTCAGCTTCACTGAGGATTTTGTAGTTTTGTCTTGCCCTCTTCCTTTTAAATTCTAAAATCTGTTGATATTTTATTAAAAGTTTTCACTTTGGGTAAGTACTATTGTCATTGACCCTTTCTTCTACATTATGTTTTTTCATATCTGTTATAGACTGGACACCAAAAAATGTTTGAAGTATGTCAACATTAAAAGTGACTGCATATCAAATGAACCCCTTAAGTACTTTATTTCATGGAGAAGTATATGAGCTTTCATTTTGTTGATGACAGTTGGCATGTTGTTTGTCCAGATACCTTTCTTGCATATTTACTGTAGCAAATATCTTTAATTTGGATTCTGCTGATAAAGGAAACTCTTGCTACTTTGGTCCATGCTAGTATTGTTGTGGTTTTGAATAATTTTTGTATAATTATACATGTATTTAAAGTAGTGCTTATTTTATTTTTATATAATTGAAAAATTTTAAAAATACTTTGTTTTACCAAAAGGCTGAAAAACAGTCAGCTAAGCTACATGCTGAACACTTGGAAAAAGAGCTACAATCAAACAGTGAACAAAATACTCTTTTAATTAGTAAACTGCATAAAGCTGAAGGAGAAATAACTACATTGACAAGTAAAGTAAGTTGTCTTATGCTTCTTTTCATTCTTTAGAGTGCGTGTTTACTTTTTTAAAATTTTTTATTTATTTATTTATTTTTTGACAGGCAGAGTGGACAGTGAGAGAGAGAGACAGAGAGAAAGGTCTTCCTTTGCCGTTGGTTCACCCTCCAATGGCCACCGCGGCTGGCACGCTGTGGCCGGTGCACCGCACTGATCCGATGGCAGGAGCCAGGTGCTTCTTCTGGTCTCCCATGGGGTGCAGGGCCCAAGCACTTGGGCCATCCTCCACTGTACTCCCAGGCCACAGCAGAGAGCTGGCCTGGAAGAGGGGCAACTGGGACAGAATCCGGCACCCCGACCGAGACTAGAACCCGGTGTGCCGGCACCACAAGGCGGAGGATTAGCCTAGTGAGCCGTGGCGCCGGCCCAGCTTGTTTGCTTTATAATGTAGAATGATAATGGACTTTGTTTATGGTAGTTTAGTTCTCTATATTGAAACTTGTTTTAGTGTATCATTGTACTTTCCAAGAAACTAATGCATTGATCAATAAAGTAAATAATCTAATACTTCATTCTTCATACTGCACAGTGACAAATTTTGTGCTTCAATAGTTTGAGTCTCTATACTGAAACCTTTTTATCCTGTCATTCTACCTTCCAAATACATGGAGAATCTAATTCTTATCACTTTCACTGTGTCCTGATCTCTTTAGGTCCAATTTTTACCTTTCAGTTTTGTTTATTTGAAAGACACAGATGGGGCAGGATTGTAAACAGACAGTAAAAGCTTCTATCTGCTGGTTCACTCCTCAGACACTTGAAATAGTGGGAACTGGTCCAGACCAAAGTTAGAGTCAGAGACTTAAAATAAGTCTCCCAAGTGGATGGCAGGGAGCCAACCACTTGAGCTATCATTTGCTACTTCCCAGGGACTGCACTGACAGGAAGCTGAAATTTGGAGCCGGAACCAGGAATTGAATGCAGGCACTCCAACAGAGGGTGTGGGTGTCCCAACTGGTGTTTTAATTGCTAAATTGAATGCTTTCCTCTAGGCTCAGTTTTTAATGATAACTTTCTTTCTTTTTAAAGATTTATTTATTTATTTGAAAGTCAGAGTTACATAGAGAAGGAGAGGCAGAGAGAAAGAGAGAGGTCTTCCATCTGCTGGTTCACTCCCCAATTGGCCACAATGGCCAGAGCTGTGGTGACTTGTACTGTCTTCTACTGTTTTTCCAGGCCATAGCAGGAAGCTGGAAGGGAAGTGGAGCAGCCGGGACTTGAACTGGTGCCCATATGGGATGCCAGCACTGCAGGTGGCAGCTTTACCCATTACGCCACAGCACCGGCCCCTAGTGATAACTTTCTAACTGGTGTTTCCACTCTGTCCACTCAGAGCCTTATATGATCTGGCTCTTGCTATTCTTTCCTCAGCCATCACCATCCATTTTTCCTCCTTTTCACTTCCTGTTCTCCACTCTCACTGGCCTTTTTGCTCTTCTTTGGGCTAGTTCTCCTCTACATGAGGGCCTTTGTGCATGTATGCATGGCATTTTTCTCTAAGGTCCCTGCATAGCTTCTTTCTTCGTCTTCAGATATTAACTAATCACAGAGGCCTACTTGGGCTTCACTTTGGAAATTAATACCTTCCCTCTTCTGCTTCACTATTTTCTTTATCTTCTTTATTTTTCTTCACAGATTTTAATATTATCTGATTTTTTTTACTTTTTTTAAGATTTATTTATTTATTTATTGAAAGGCAGAGTTACAGAGAGGCAGAGAGAGAGAGAGAGTCTTCTATCCGCTGGTTCACTCCCCAAAAGCCACAACAGTGAGGAGCTTCTTACAGGTCTCCCACGTGGGTACAGGGGCCCAAGGACTTGGGCCATCTTCTACTGCTTTCCCAGGCATAGCAGAGAGCTGGATCCGGAAGTGGAGCAGCCGAGACTTGAACTGGCGCCTGATTGGGATACCAGCACTGCAGGTGGTGGCTTTACTGGCTACGCCACAGCGCTGGCCCCTTACTTTTTTTTCCTCTCTCGTTTTCTTTCCCTCCACCCTTCCTCCTCAACCAAATGTAAGCTCCAAGAGAGCAGGGACATTGTTTTTGCCACTACACTTATCTCTGACTCCTAAGATAATGCTGGCACAAAATAGTTACTCTATAAGTATTTCTTCAGTGAATAAATTAATATTAATACATAATCTGCATTTATGTTATCTTTAAAGCATCAAAATAATTTGAATGTTCCCAAAATGTCTTTTGAATACAAAGATTTTTTAAGAATTATTTTATTTATTTGAAAGAGTTGCAGAGAGAGGTAGAGACACAGAGAGAGGTCTTCCATCTGCTGGTTCACTTCCCAGATGTCTGCAATGTCCAGAGTTGTGCCGATCTGAAGCCTGGAGCCGGGAGCTTCCTCTGGGTCTCTCACATGGGTGAGGGGCCTCAGGACTTGGGCCATCTTCAACTGCTTTCCCAGGCCGTAGCAGAGAGCTGGATTGGAAGAGGAGCAGCCGGGACTAGAACTGGTGCCCACATGGGATGTTGGAGCTTTAGGCCAGGGCGTTAACCCACTGCACCACAGCACTGGCCCCCACAAATATTTTTTTTTAGATATTTAAAGTTGTTTTTACCTCAAATATAATACGTGCAGGAAATCTAGTAACCAGAAATAGAGTAGTATACATCTTATAGAGTATCAGCTCTGGAGTCTGAAAGACTGCATTCAAATTTTAATTCTTCCCCTTACTAGGTGTGTGACCTTGGGCGATTTATTTTTCTAAGAAACTAGTATCTTTTCTACAAAATGGAAGTAATCCTTACCTTACTGAGTTGTAGCAAAAATTAAATGAAATGTTATGCATAAGAGTTAGCAAATAATTACTTAAATATTAAATATTATTAGGATTTGGGCATCTCTAAAAATTTGGAAATAAGACTGGTTTGTGGGTCAGTAAAGCCATGCATTCCTATCAGGGCAGAGTTGTATAACGCTATCTTAAAACAAAGGTGGCTCCCGAACCAAAAGGTTTTTTCTGTTGCCTCTTAGAAATATAGGAATTTGTCTAAAGTAATAACATAGTCATTATAATCTCCCAGTTCTTTGACTGAGAAGACTAAGAGACAGTGTTTATAACTCAGATGAGAAAGTTTTAGTCAGAAGAATTTTAGCAGTTAGTGATGAAAATGATAATGGCAATGGTTATATACTAATGATATGCTTAAATAAGAAAATGATGTAACAGAAAAAATATAGAATTTGGAGCCATTGATTATCTTCCTCACTGTATTAGTAATTGTAAATTTAGGCCAGCTACTTAATATCATTGGGAGCCAGTTTTCTCATAGATGAAAAGGGGCAGTTTAAGATTGTGACTTGCTAGAAAATAAGTTATCTTTTTTAAATATTGATTTATTTGAGAGGCAGAGTTCCAGACAGAGAGAGGGAGATACAGAGAGATCTTCCATCTGCTGGTTCACTCCCCAAATGAACACCAATGGCCGGAGCTGGGCTGCTCTGAAGCCAGGAGCCAGGAGCTTTATCTGGGTCTCCTACATGGGTGCAGGGGCCCAAAATTTGAGCCAATTTCTACTGTTTTCCCAGGCCATTAGCAGGAAGCTGGGTCGAAAGTGAAGTAACCGGGACTCAAACCTGCGCCCATATAAGATGCCGGTACCACAGGCAGAGGCTTAGCCTACCGCGCCACAGTGCAGTCCCCAATAAGTTATTAATTTGATTGTTTCCTTATTAAGTAGGTTACTTATACATTCAGCAGATACATATTGAATGCTTATAATTGTAGTTTACAAAAAAGTGCACGGAAAACACAAAGAAGCTAATTCAGGATAGAGACAGTTCTGTCAGGTTTCTAATTCTGGTATAATTATTTTCCATTTTGTAAAATAATATTGAGTACTCAATGCTTGCAACAAATTGTTCTGAACTTGAGTAGCTAGACTGCACTACTGGAATAGCCAGACCCTTAGGTGTAGTGACAGGACATTGGGAATGCGGTTTCCTCCTGGAGCTCCTCACTCTCTGGGAGGTTACCAAGTGCTTCTCCTGCAGCACTTTTCACTTGAGCCGTTGACTCAGCTGTGGGCAGATTCTGATTTCTTTCCTTTTTTTTCTGTACATATATGCTTCTCCACTCTGTTGCCTTTTGGAGTTACAGTATTAGATGATTTCTCCTGAAGGAAGAGCAGCAGTTTAGTATAGTGTTATTTATTTCTCTTGTGCTTATTTATGAGCATATAGTGCTAAGAGTTGCTTGTCTTTCTAAAAGCATACTTGCATTATTTTGCATATAAATGCAGAATTAGAAACCAGGGTTCCATGGGAAAGATCAGTTTTAAAATAATATTTCAAACATGACTGTCACAGTTTTCTTTGCAACTTGAAATTTTAATCAATATTTTGCAATTCTAGCAAATGGTTCTTTGCAATGCAAAAGAACACCTGGGGTGTTACTCGAATTTGTAAATGTTTTTTAGGTTCTAAAGCAAAGTTATGTCAGTGTGACTATCAGTGTCCTTTATTAAAAGATATTATTAAAGATGGCTTGCAAATGATGACCTTGAAACTATTTCACTTTCAATAAGGTCAGTTCTTCTGGTTACCTCATGAAATACTTGATCTTTAGAACTTAAAAAATAGTTGTAGGAAGCAGTTGCACACAGTTATCTTTGTTAGCTAAGTTCCTGAGGTCTTAACATCTTAGAAATTGGATGATGATCAGAACTGAAAGGACATTTCTTAGGAATTTGCATATAGATCTTCTTGAGTAATACACTTAAAAGCTGTTTCTTGCATGTATTGTTTGGTAATATGCTTTTTGTGGACATGCATATTTTAACAGATTCTGTACCCCTGTAACATGACTGTTACCACTGTTTTTGTCATTTATTACAATTTTGTTAGTAGTAATCTTCAAATACTAGGGCCTTGAATCTCTTAAAATTTTATTAAACATTTTAACATTGTGCATCTTATTTAGAGAAAGGGCCCTAGATTTCCTAGATTTTCAGGACCTGATCACAAAGAAGATTAAGAATCAGAGATCTCAAGGTAGAAAGAAACCTTACTATGACTACTTAGGATTTGATTCCAATTACTCAAAGTAAAACACTATTAATTGTCATTATTATGTAATAAATATGTAACTTTTTCATTTTAAACATAAAATTTAGTTCCTTTTAGTATATTTTTAGAGTTAACAGTTGTTGTTAGTATAAATGCATTATTTTAGGATTATAGAAATGACACTGAAAAAACCCTCAAAATTTATAGTTGAGTATGGAGAAGATGAGTGAATTGCTTGGGCACATACCACTAGTTTAATAGCAAAAATAGATCTGGAAGTCAAACTTATACTGTCCAGTGTCCTTTCAGGTTCAGGAATTACAGTTTAGTTGAAAATATTTTCTCATTTCAGTAAATTTCAAGGTGAAATGAGTTAGAAAATAGTTTTTCTTTTCCCTAATTCTTGAAGTTACTGTGAAATGCACCAGCTTTTCACACAATAAGATGGCTCTATAATTTTCCACTAGGAGTTGAAAGCAGCTACATTGTGGTTTGTTAATGAACTGCTGTGTCATTCTTAACCTTTTCCAGTTAGCATATAATATCAGGTTATAATTACATTTGTCATACAATGATTAGATTTTCATTGTACTTGTATTTTTCAGTTTTAAAGCATTTATAATTTAAATTTAATCTATTCATGAAATTATAATGTAATAAAGTCCAATCTATAGGAAGTTTAAGTATTAAAATAATTATAATTTCTTAGTTGTGTTCATGTAGTTACATATCATTTTGTGAGTTTTTTTTTTTTCTAGAAAAGAACTTCAGAAAGGAGATTTAAAAATACAAAACTAGTGTCAGCACAAGGTAGCCATTTTATGTAGTATCATTTTAAAAGTCAACAAGTTAATTTGGAAGGGTATCTTTTTGTAGCTAGAAGTATAAAGGCAATATAATAATTACCTTTCTTTTGATTTTCTTAATTGAAGATTTTTCAAGACCCATTCCTTGCAATGTTTGCAGGACCTTCACAGATGAAATCTCTCCCAGTAAGACACCTGTGTCTTCTTTCCTTATCCTTTTTGACTGTAGGGCCTTTTCTTGGTTTGTGTCTAACTCTCAGCCTCAGTTTTTATGGAGTTTTATTGGACTGTAAATTACCTTTTACCCTACTCTTCCTACATCTCACATTTTACATATTTAACTTGTATAATTTTTATAATTTTTTTGCTCTGAATCCATAATTTTATGTATTATAATATATGAGACTATAGATTTATATAACCTGTAGATCTGTTTCAGTTAAATTCTTTTTATATTATATCGAATTTTAAAAGCACCTTTTCAGAGGTAAGACAATGAAAAATGTTAGAGAGTAGTGCCTTTGACTGGAGGGACAAAGTTTTCTTGGTTGTTGTATGTCCATTTCCTAAAATACTACTGGGCACATAATAGTGTTCAGTACATATTTATTGAGTGATTACTACTTATGAACTAGAATTATTCAGCCTTCAAAAGAAATGTCTTAGCCAAGATTAAAAAATGATATATAATGGTTTAATTATTTGAAAAGCATTGACAATTACTCATTCACTTGAGGCTGTAAAGAAATCAAGTTTTGGCAAAAAGAAAATTAAATTAGGTTTACACAAGTTATTCTTGCTCCTTCCTGCTCCCTCATACATTCATACACACACACATATAAACATGCAAACAAATTATTTAGTTACCAAATTCAACTGATTTTTCCATCCTGCCCTCTTCGTTCCTTGTCTGTTAATTGATTTCCTTCCTTTCAGTTCTTAAACACATTTACATTTAGAGTTAACTTTATGAAACAATTGTGTCATCAGTAGTTAACAGGATAAACAACCTTTTTTTAAAAAAAATTATTTATTTGAAAAACAGAGTTACACAGTGAGAGAACGAGAGGCAGAGAGAAAGAGAGAGAAGTCTTCCATCTGCTGGTTCATTATCCAGTTGGCCACAATAGCCAGAGCTGTGCCGATCCAAAGCCAGGAGCCAAGAGCTTCCCCTGGCTTTCCCACGTGGGTGCAGGGGCCCAAGGAGTTGGGCCACCTTTTACTGCTTTCCTAGGCCATAGCAGAGAGCTGGATCGGAAGTGGAGCATCCTGGACTCGAACCGGCGCCCATATGGGATACTGGCACTGCAGGCAGCAGCCTTACCTGCTGTGCCACAGTGCCGGCCCCAGGATAAACAACCTTTGTGGCATATTAAGTTTATTCCTGCCATTCCTCAGCAGAGTTCACATCTCCCTCTTTTCTATCTGCAACATCATACCTGGTTGTTTGCAGAGCAGACCGTGTGATGTTATTCCTCAATGATAAACTGTTTGTATGTTCTTTCTACCCACCATTTCTTCGTTGTCTCTGATGCTTTCTTGAAAACAAGGTTTCAGTTTTTTAGTCTGAAGATATTTTGACCATTGACTATTGGATTGAGTCTTTTTTTTTTCAACTTTTATTTAATGAATATAAATTTCCAAAGTACATCTTATGGATTACAATGGCTTCCCCCACCACAACCTCCCTCCCACCTGCAACCCTCCCTTTTCCCTCTCCCTCTCCCCTTCCATTCACATCAAGACTCATTTTCAATTCTCCCCATATACAGAAGATCAGTTTAGCATATATTAAGTAAAGATTTCAACAGTTTGCACCCACGTAGAAACACAAAGTGAAAAATACTGTTTGAGTACTAGTTATAGGCGGCCATTGGTGGATTAAGTCTTTTAAGATGTATTTGTATAGAAATGCCTCAGTTCTATTAAGAATTGTTTTCTTGGTGTCTCCTTGTTACCAAGGACTATACCAAGCACCGAAAAGCCTTCCTTTCTTATAGTCCATACCCTACTCCCAAAGTGTTTTCTCATTTGCACTTAGATTTTTGGTTAAGTACTAAATGTCAAGAAAATGACCAGTAGTAATTTCAATCTCTTACTTATTAACAGGTAAAAGAACTTAAACATTCAAACAAACTAGAAATAACAGACATCAAACTGGAGGCAGCAAGAGCTAAGAGTGAGCTAGAAAGAGAAAGGAATAAGATTCAAAGTGAACTGGATGGTAATATATGATTTCCTGTGTTTTCATTATTTCCAGGTATAAACTCAAATTATTAAAAATATATCAGCCACATTTTATTTCCAAATTCTTACCTTAGTTGAATTTGGTTTTTAAAAAATGTATGTTTTTCTTTTCTTTTTTTAAAAATTTATTTATTTGAAGGGCAGAGTTATAGACATGACTTGAGATGGAGAGAGAGTGTGAGAGAGAGCGAGTGAGCGATCCTCCGTCTGCTGGTTCGTCCCCAAATAGCCACAGTGGCCAGGGCTGGGCCAGACTGAAGCCAGGAACCTGGAACTCCATCCAGGTCTCCCACAGCGGTGGCAGGGGCCCATGCACTCAGACCATCCTCAGCTGCCTTCCCAGGCATCTTAGCAAGGAGCTGAATCGGAAGTGGAACAGCTGGAACTCAAACTGGGATGCCAGTGTTTAGGCAGTGATTTAACCTGTTGCGTCACACTGCTGCTCCTGAATTTTAATTTTGAAGTACATATGGAATATTTTTGCTTATACGTTGAATATTTTGTTCATTCTGTTATCTAAGTTTTTTAAAAAATGATTCTTAAGTTTATTGTCATAGTTATTTGATTAATAAATAAATTAAGTGTAACTTGAAAATGGGATTCCATCCTCCTTGGGTTTATAATTTTAAATCTGTTTAAATCAGTTTTATCAATGATATAAGGACTTTTGGGAATTCATATCTAGAGAGATTGTCTATATTCTTTTAATTTTCTTATCAGTTTATGAATGCTTACTGTTAATGATGATTTTTCATCTTAACCTTGAAAATGCTACATTTGTCTCCTGAAAAATACTAGGACTACAGTCAGACAATGAAATTCTCACATCAGCTGTTGAACATCACAAAATGCTCTTAGTAGAAAAGGATCGTGAATTAATACGTAAAGTACAAGCTGCCAAGGAAGAAGGTTATCAAAAACTTGTGGCATTACAAAATGAAAAGTAAGTAATTACCTTACTTTGTGTTAAATCTCCTTACAAATGAAAACATTTTGCTGTCATATCATCTTTATTGTAGTTTTTTTTTAAACATAATTATCGTCTATTGTTTTAGGCTAGAACTTGAGAACAAATTAGCCGATTTGGAGAAAATGAAAGCGGAACATGACGTCTGGAGGCAATCTGAAAAGGATCAGTGTGAAGAGAAATTGCGGGCTTCACAGATGGCAGAAGAGTTGGCCAGAAGGGAACTTCAGAGTATTAGGTTATATATGTAAAATCTTTCCATTTGGGGATAATTTCAGAGTTAATAAAGTGATAAAAAAGTAAACAGAGAATTCCAATATACAGTTTACCCAATACTAATATCTTATGTATTCATATGATGATAATCAAGAGTAAGGAATTAGCATTAATGCAATTAGGAATTCAAATAGGCATTACTATTATCAAGCCTATTTACTTCTTGGAAATTTTAGCAGTTGTCCCATGGATACTCTTCCTGGTCCAAAATTTAGTTCACACATTGCCTTTACTTAGTTTCCTTTATTCTAACATATGAACACTTCTGAAGAATGCTGGTCAGTTATTTATGGAAAGTCTCTTTGTTTTGATTTTGTATTTCATTTTTCATTATTAAATTCAAGTTTTTGTTTCTTTTAGCAAAAATAACACCAAAGTTATATGGCCTTAGTGCATAGTTTCAGGAAGTTCATGATTTGTCCCTTTTAACTGGTGACATAAACTTTGTTCACTTGGTACAAGAATTGCCATCTAGATTTTTCACTGTAAAGTTGTTACTTTTCCCCATTGTAAAAGATATTTATCTTATGACTGTCCGTATGATACTTTATGGTTGTGTAAATATTCCTATGATACATTTCCCCTACCAGTTATAGCATTCATTGGTAATCCTTTCCTGACACTCTGATTATAGTATTTGCCAAATAGTGATTTTTTTCCTATATTCATTATACCTCCTACATTTTCAGTGGACATCTCCTGTGAGGAAGAGCTTTTTCTTCTTTAAATATTAATAGAATGATGTGTTGCTTATTGCTGGTGATATGTTCTGAGAAATGTGTTGTTAGATGATTTTATCAATGTGCAAATATGATAGAGTGCACTTGGAAAAATCTAGCTGTTATAGATCAGCCACTGAACATGACCGTTTAATGCCATCAAGAGGCACAGTAAACACAAGACAGTAGACTGCTACCGGCATAACCCACCATACAATTTTATCGTAAACTGTTCTTAATAAGTAGGAGTATACTCTGAAAAGTGATTATTAAAAATGTGTAGTAAATATATAAACCAGTAACATATCATTTCTTATCAAGTGTTATGTACTGTCTCATATGTGCTGTAGTTTCATACAACTGGCAGCACAGTAGGTTTGTTGATGCCACCATCACCACACACAGGTGAGTAATGTACTGAGCTACAGCTTGCAGTGGCTGTTAATAACTGGACAGTAGGGAGTTTTCAGCCTTATGGGACTACTGACCTATGTATGGTCCATTGTTGACTATTTATATCAATATGGACTAACAGACTCTTATTCTTCTGTAATATAATCTTATTGCTTCAATTGTCTCATTTTGGGCCAATGGACGCTCTTTAAAGTTGAATTCTGTATGTTTTTAGCACACTCCCACCATTTTTTAAAGTTCTTTTTTACTTTCTAGCATCATAGGATGTTTTAGATTCCTCTTTTACTTTCCCTGCCCCAGCGCCGAAATTACCCATTTCTCTAAGGTGCTTTAGTTTTTGTTGGAGCACGGTATTTGAAAGCCCAAGATCTCACTTGAGGTACGCTTGCTGTTACTTAGGGAGGGGAACGTTGCTTTCAGGCCTTCTCAGTGAACTGAGCTAGGAAATATATTTATGTATACACAAATACACATTTGTATCCATTTCTTTAATTCTAGATGTACACGTAGTCATGAGTTTACATTGACAGTTCCAATTGTTCCATACCAGGAAGTTCATTCTGGCCTTCTCTCTTCATATTTGTTTTATTTATTTATTTATTTATTTATATTATTTTTTGACAGGCAGAGTGGACAATGAGGAGAGAGAGACAGAGAGAAAGGTCTTCCTTGGCCGTTGGTTCACCCACCAATGGCCGCTGCGGCTGGCGCACCGTGCTGATCCAATGGCAGGAGCCAGGTACTTCTGGTCTCCCTTGGGGTGCAGGGCCCAAGCACTTGGGCCATCCTGCACTGCACTCCCTGGCCACAGCAGAGAGCTGGCCTGGAAGAGGGGCAACCGGGACAGAATCCGGTGCCCCGACCAGGACTAGAACCCGGAGTGCCTGCGCCGCAAGGCGGAGGATTAGCCTAGTGAGCCGCGGCGCCGGCCCTCTCTTCATATTTGTAACTCCTTTGACAGTGAGAAACTTGGCTTTCATTATCTTTAGTCCTAGTATGTGCATAAAATAGTTTTGGAATTGCTAACTCATGACTGTGAAAAACCCATTAACTAATATGTCATATTTGTATATAGTTCTTTTTTATCTTTAGCCTTAAGTGTGTGAGTATTATCAAAATACTGTTTGTCAGAGTTACTTAGGGTTTTTCTCCCCAAATCTTCATTCACTGTAATTATGTTATTTACTTACAAAACAGATTAATTTTGGGTTCCCACTTCATTCTTCTTTGTTTTATTTATTAATAACACATGAAAAATCAATATGATTCTAAAAGAACAATTGAAAAAAAAAAGAAACAACCCACACATTCATCGTAGGGTGATTTCCTCGTCTTTTTCTCCTCTACTCTCATCCATCACCCCCATGTAATGAATCACATTCATTTCTGGTTTATCCTTCCTGGATTTTTGCCCTGCCACCCCACAGTGGCAGACGCGTGTATACTCTATTTATACTTCTTATCAATCGATCCTGGAAATTGCTTCATATGAGTGCATGGAATTAATCCTCATTCTTTTTCACAGTTGTGTAACACTCCATTGTGTGTATGTACCAATGCTTATTCAGTCTCCTTTGTTTGAATATTTGTTTCTGATATTTTGTGATTACAGCTAATAATCTTGTACCTGTATGCATTTTCATGTTACTGGAGGTGTATCTTCAGGGGAGTTATTGAATAGGTGGATCAAAATGTGAATTAGTGTACAGTTTTGTTAGGTTTTGCTGAATTCCCATCCAAGTGAATACTACTTTTCATCCTAGAATAGTTTAATTTGCATTTCTCATATTATCAATGAGGTTGAACAACTTGTAGTATGTTTTAAGTCCATTTTTTATCTTTGTATATGAATTGTCCATTTATGTCTTTCCCTATTGTCCTTGGTTTCTTTGGAATTTTTCCCTTCCTGTTTAAGAATTCTTTATTTGTGAGGAATATGCTTCAAATACTTTCTCTCATTTTGTTGGTTATCTTTTGACTTTGTTTATGGTATTTGTTGCCATGTCGAAATTTTTCTTACATAATTGAATTTACTAATGTTACTGCTTCTGGATTTTAAGTCATAGTCTCTCTGTCCACTGACCTTAAACAGGAGTTTAATGCTTTGTGCTTGTGTGGTTTAGATGTCTGATGTCTGATCTGTTTGGAGTATATTCTTACAAATGCTTTGGGGTATGGATTTAGTTTTATTTTTTTTGAAATGGCTAAGCAATTGTCCCATATTTTATTAAAAACTTACCTTTGCCCCAATGATTTGTGTTGATGCTTTTTTTTTTTTATTTGATAGGTAAAATTACAGACAGAGAGAGAGAGAGACAGAAAAGTCTTCCTTCCGTTGGTTCGCTCCCCAATTGGCTGCTATAGCCGTCACTGCGCCGATCTGAAGCCAGGAGCCAGGTGCTTCTTCCTGGTCTCCCATGCGGGTGCAGGGCCCAAGCACTTGGGCCATCCTCCACTGCCCTCCTGGGCCACAGCAGAGAGCTGGACTGGAAGAGGAGCAATGGGGACTAGACCCTGGCGCCCATATGGGATGCCTGCGCTGCAGGCGGAGGATTAACCAAGTGAGCCGCAGCGCCGGCCCTTGTGTTGATGCTTTTATGATATTTTAATTTTCTCCATATACTTGGATGTATTTCTGGACTTTCTATTCTACTTGACTGATCTGGTGATTTGTTCATGCACTCTACAAGAATATTTTAATCCGAGAGGCTTCATGATATGCTTTCATTTCTGGTTGAACTGTTTTACCCTTGTAGTTTTTCAGCATTTTTCTAGTTATTTTTGCATATTTCATTTTCCATGTAAACTTGAGTTCAGTGTCTATCTCCATAAAGTTTTTTGGTAATTTTATTGGAATCACATTTTTTTTTTCAAATTTTCTTATGGTAAAATATGTATAAAATTTACTGTCTTATTCATTGTTAAGTATTGAATTCCTTGGTATTGAATACATTCTTAATGTTGTACAACTATCCATCTCTAGAACACTTCCCATCTTATAAAACTGAATTTTTTTAAAAATATTTCTTTATTTTGAGAGGTAGAGTTACAGACAGAGAAGGAAACAGAGAAAAAGGTTCTGCATCTGCTGGTTCACTCCCCAAATGGCCAAAATGGCTGGAGTTGAGCTGATCCGAAGCCAGGAGCCAGGATCTTCTTCTGGGTCTCCCGTGAGGGGTGCAGGAGCCTAAGCACTTGGGCCATCTTCTACTGCCTTCCCAGGCCATAGCAGAGAGCTGGATGGAAGAGGAGCAGTCAGGACTAGAACCCTCGCTCATATGGGATTCCAGTGCCACAGGTGGAAAATTAACCTGCACCACAGTGCCAGCCCTAAAACTGACTTTATACAGTAACATCATCTTCCCAACCCCTGGCAATCACCATTCTATTTTCTGGCTCCATGATTTTTGGTTACTCTGTGAATATCCCTCATGTAAGTGGAGTCATACAGTATCTGTTTTATTGTGACTGGCTTATTTCCCTTAGCTTGATGTCCTCAGAGTTCATTCATGTCACAATTTCTGTCCTTTTTAAGAGTAAATCATATTCCAGTGTGTATATGAGGGGACTTGGAAGAATTCATGCAAAATGTATATTAAGAAAATACAATGCATGGAGTTCAACATTTTTTGCACCACAATAAATTTTTAATTTTATTATTCTGAGAACTTTTGGAAATGCTCTCATCATCTATACTACCATTTTGTTTATCCATCCATGGACACTTGAGTTGCTTTCACATTTTAGCTATTCTGAATAATACTGCTGTGAACTCTAGAGTACAGATGTATCTTAGAGACTTTGCATTCAGTTACTTTTGGCATATACC